AAGTCCTTCCCGAGTGGTGAACAAAGTCTTAAAATGGTGTAGGAAGAATACCGGTTGGCGAATTCTTGCTATTTTCAAGCATTTCATACCAGATTAGGGGACCAATAATAAGAAGATATGTTAGCAATAGTCAATAGTGGGAGTTATCGTTCATGGGTGCGAAAATCATCTTGTGGATGAATTAACCATTAAAAAAAAAAAAAGTGGAGGAACGATACTAGATATTTCATCTTCTCTTGAAAACCATAGAGGGTGGGTAGGACTGACAAAGATTGGTACACCACAGCCACCAAAGGAGAAAGTTTGCTCATGTTAAAAAGTGAGCATCATTTAACACGAATACAAGAAAACCATTAAGTGGTGCTAATGAACCATCATAAACAGAACAAACATATATCGCAGAACATAAGCACAATTAGACTGAAAGCAACTTCTATATTGGTCAGCGTAATTCTTACCTCAAATGAACAAAATTGCAGGGCCAGAACCATCAGTTCTGATAGAAAAAGGGAATGGCTTTGTCATTTGTAACAAGTAAATGGTGTAGAAATGAAGAGAACCCTCTAACACACAAGTGTGGCTTGAAACAGACGTTATTAGCTATCATACAGAAACACAACATGCACGTATGGTTGTGAATTTCAGTAAATACACACCGCTGAAAGTATGAATCGTTAAGCATTTAGACCACTACCACGAGAGTTCAGTTATTATGATCCGTATAAGAACGGCATTCAAGGAATGAAATTATTTTCATCAAAGATTCTATTAGAAAAAGGTCATATGATGACACACAATCTTAGACCAATCTATAAATCCGNTGCTAGATGTATGAGGATTGGCTAGCTATCACTTAAAAGTGAGGAAAATAGAGAGGCTTTTGGAGGATTATTTATGTAAAACCAAGTTCAAACTATCAATTTCATAGGATGCCAATTTTCAACAAGACACGCTAACGCCACAACTTCTCTAGGGGAAGCCTATTTTCACTTTTTTTCGTTGTTCTTTATTTTTATTTTTTGTAGGATGAATGTGAACTTTGGGCACCACAAATGCACTCCATGCCTGCAGCGGAGACTGTGATAGGCTAGAGTAGGAATANGTATCTCAATAAGAAAGACAAATTCAAAACATCCACTATTACTTATTTTACATATACTAAGTCCTTCCCGAGTGGTGAACAAAGTCTTAAAATGGTGTAGGAAGAATACCGNGTATCTCAATAAGAAAGACAAATTCAAAACATCCACTATTACTTATTTTACATATACCAAGTCCTTCCCGAGTGGTGAACAAAGTCTTAAAATGGTGTAGGAAGAATACCAGTTGGCGAATTCTTGCTATTTTCAAGCATTTCATACCAGATTAGGGGACCAATAATAAGAAGATATGTTAGCAATAGTCAATAGTGGGAGTTATCGTTCATGGGTGCGAAAATCATCTTGTGGATGAATTAACCATTAAAAAAAAAAAAAGTGGAGGAACGATACTAGATATTTCATCTTCTCTTGAAAACCATAGAGGGTGGGTAGGACTGACAAAGATTGGTACACCACAGCCACCAAAGGAGAAAGTTTGCCCATGTTAAAAAGTGAGCATCATTTAACACGAATACAAGAAAACCATTAAGTGGTGCTAATGAACCATCATAAACAGAACAAACATATATCGCAGAACATAAGCACAATTAGACTGAAAGCAACTTCTATATTGGTCAGCGTAATTCTTACCTCAAATGAACAAAATTGCAGGGCCAGAACCATCAGTTCTGATAGAAAAAGGGAATGGCTTTGTCATTTGTAACAAGTAAATGGTGTAGAAATGAAGAGAACCCTCTAACACACAAGTGTAGCTTGAAACAGACGTTATTAGCTATCATACAGAAACACAACATGCACGTATGGTTGTGAATTTCAGTAAATACACACCGCTGAAAGTATGAATCGTTAAGCATTTAGACCACTACCACGAGAGTTCAGTTATTATGATCCGTATAAGAACGGCATTCAAGGAATGAAATTATTTTCATCAAAGATTCTATTAGAAAAAGGTCATATGATGACACACAATCTTAGACCAATCTATAAATCTGAAAAAAAAAAATAACAATTTCATTTACAAATTTGACCCTGCCAATGTCTAATGCATGAGGCATGAATTTAAGGAATGACATAAGGGCACACACCAGCTCTTACACTATCTGCACTGATTAGAAATACCTGAGGTGCCCTTGTTATATTCACTTTTGGTCCCAGCCAAGTCTTGCACCAAGAGAGAGAATGGTATGGTACCTGTAAAACAGATCCGTTTAAAGTCATTCAGGCTAACATGCCAGACAGACTATTCACAATTGAACACTGAAACACAGAATAATTGATATATTTCATCCTAGAAAAAGTAATGTTTCTCAAGCATACCGTCTCATCCCCACTTGTTGCTCCAGAATCCCCTTCAACCAGATTCCCAGACCTACGCAATTGCAATAACAACCATACTTAGATGCAGTATACATGATCTCTGGATCCACCCAGCAAAAAACCTCACTAAAAGCAGTAGAATCAGGAGCCAATCACGAGTATGACAGAAATCATTTTATCTTATTCATATGTACTACATTATTTTGTGGTATATCTCAAGTGAACAGATTATTTTGATGAGTTAAGGTCTAGAAAGGAGGATGAACTTGAAATACAGGACTGAAAAAAGTATATCAAGATCTTTAGTTGTAACTGAAGATGGCGCTTTTCATAAGCTGGCAAGATTTGGATTTCTGATCACATAAAGAAGGTACAAGGCCCTCATCAAATGATTGACTGATATTGTTACCATTGGGGAGAGGAGGGAATGGTGGGTTATTGCTACTGTTATGTACTGTTCTATTTTATTTAACTTAATGACTGCATCAAAATACCTCGTCAAGAATTTTCGTCCTAAACAAGTAAACAATATTGGCTAGGAATTCATTCTCGTAAATATTGGAAATAAAAAGCTGATACTCACAAGTTACAGGGAGTTCTATTTTTAAAAAAGAAAAAGAACCTGAGGGCAACCTATTTTCACATCTACAACTGAAAAATCTTGCCTTATTTTCTCAAATCATCATAGGAAACATTTATCTCCCAACTCTTCCTCATCATAATCTGATGTAGGACGGGGAAGGACTACAAATAAGAGAATAGAAAGAGAAGAAGAAAGAAGAGCGGAGGAAGGGATTTATGTTATGCTCGCAAGGAATCGGTCAAGAAACACAAATCTCCGTAGAGAATACTCAATTCTTATTCATAACCTCTCTACCATGAAATCGTAGGGGTTACATCAATATTTATAGGCCAAGTCTCCTACTAAAATAAAACTTACTCTACTACTAAAATTCTAAAAGAGTTTCATAATCAAACTCTTAAATTCCTATCNGTAGGGGTTACATCAATATTTATAGGCCAAGTCTCCTACTAAAATAAAACTTACTCTCCTACTAAAATTCTAAAAGAGTTTCATAATCAAACTCTTAAATTCCTATTCTACTAAAACTCTACAATAATTCCGTAGTCAAACTTTAACTAATACTACTAGTCAAACAAATATTTCCTAACTAATATACTAATACTAAAACAAATAATAAAATTCAATTCTTCCATTTAAGCTCATCCAATCCCTTTTTTATCTCTATCAGAATCATCCTTAATTTAGCATGCCTATACACGTAAACAGTGAAGTTTTAGAGCATCTGTTTTGTCTTGAAAAAAATGAAAATTTTCACATTCATCTTTAGTTTCATCATGTTTTTTCTATGCTTTGACTTTGTATGAATTTCCCAATGTCCATTATGATTCACTATCATCAACGACGATATCCATTCAGTCAAAAATCTGATTAAGGAGCTTTTCCCAGAGATGCCAATTTATAGTCAAAAGTGTCACAGAACCTAGCTGATCTTGCACCACTACTCCTCTAAATGCTAAGCATTGTACGCATACGCCCTCAGTCAAATGTATAAATGGCAATTGCATTGATATCAGAGGGTAACCCTGTACCAGTCTCAAATGTAAAAGCAAAGCTCTTCCCAAATCCACCATACTGTATGCTCTACTTCCACTTCAGAAGTCTACAAAATCGAGCACTCTATACATGCTATCAGTTCCTGTTAGTATAAAAATCATATAAGGATCCTTCTAAAACATATCATACAACCCATCCCACCACCTTCTCTCTCCCCCCCCCCCCCCCCCCC